ACAAATTAAAAATTCCTTTACCACTTAATATTCATTTGGAAAACAAAATAAACATCATCATATTAAACAGAGACAATGCACTTTCAAAAAAAATAGAGAGAGACTTAAAAATCGAGTTCAATTTCCTAATATACACAAATAGGAGTGGATTAATCCATTGGGTTGTTCACTTATTGTACAATAGCAAGATTGTGTGCATGATGGCAAGATAAGTGAAGAGATTTAGACCCACATTATTCCCATTCGCACCCCCCCCCCCCCCAATACCTCTGTGCATGTGCCAGCCATTTCACCCCCACACCCAACAACAGATCAAGATCGAGATGACTTGACCTATAGCTAGCAAACTCTACCTGGCCAGCAATGTGATGGGTTTTGGCAAGATCCAGTATTGCGGGGCTTTGCAGGGATCGATAACACGAGGTGAGAGGTGAGGTGAGCAACTGCAGCTGCGAGAATGGAGGACAAAGCGTCTCCCCGGTGGCGAGAAACTTACTGGCGAGAAGGTGGCCACTCGAGGAGCAGCCGCCGAAGGGGAGAGCCGTCGGCGGCGCCGACACCATTGCCATTGCCTCCGCCGTCGCATCTTTGCTGCAGCCTCCGGCCCACCGCAACGGCGCCTCCTGTGTGCTCCGCGTCACCTTCCTCCCGTCCGTGCGCCCATGATCTTCAGACCTCGAGGGAGGCCGGAGTCGGAAGTGATAGGCAGGAGAGGATTTGCTCTGGGAGGACCTTTTTGCGGAGAGGTAGAGAGGATTTGGGGCGGGGGCAGGGGTACTTGTATTTGGGGAGAGATTAGACGCTGGATTTGGCGCCATAAGCAGAGATTTGGCGCCTTGATGAAATATTTGGCGCCAGTAATTTGCACAAGGAATGGAATTTCGCGCCAGTGGATATGGGGTTCGGCTCAAAATTATATTTATGTGATATATTCTTTATTGGACAATCAACAGTGCAACATTTTAATATGAAGTTAAACAACATTAATTCATTATTTAATTGAATATCTAGTTATTCTTTATTAGCTAAACATCCATTAATTGATTATTTCCATAATACATGCACATCCAATTATTTATTTTTAGCTAAACAACGTTAATTGATTATTTTCACCACTTAAACATACAAACTATCGTCCTTCCAATTATTCATTTTGAGCTAAACAATATTAATTGATTTTTTTCGTAATATTGTTTTGACTTGACTGAAGCTTAATGGTCACGGGATATATAGCTCGTACACCAAGCCAATAACGCTTTCACAAGGAAACTACCTTCATATATAACACATCGACATATACTCGAGCATATTATATATAGGTGTGGACATACTATACTCATACATAACTCCCTCTTGTTTTTTTATGTGCTGTTGACTTTTTTCGCGTAACGTTTAACTATTCGTTTTATTTCAAAATCTATTATATATCTATTATATATCTATTATCTATCTATTTATCTATTTCTATTATATACTAAAAGTCCATGAAACTTCCTACAAACGCTCCTAAGCCGCCATGTGTACTCCTACAAATACTCCTATACCGCCACATGTCATCTTAACAAATCGGTGGACCCAATATTTTTATCTATTAGAATTTTATTAAAAAAATAACCCCACAAACTCCCCTCCTCTCTCCTCTCCCCATGGGTCTATCCTTCAACCGGACGTACAACTCAAGTTCGTACGTACGTACGTACTTCCTCCCTCCCGTCCTATCCAATCTCTTCTTCTTTTTTCTTTAGTTATAAAATTTTTTAAAAAATAATAAATCTTAAATACCATATTTTTTCTATAGTTATTTGCATGTTGTCTATCAACAATTAAAAAATATAAGGTGTTCTTTAATCTATATGAAATACTTAATTTTTTTATCACATCCTAAACTTTGCATATCACATAAAACTGTCATATAAAATAGGGAAAAATTGATAATGTAGATTACACGATCATATATCAATTCACATAATATGCATAAACAAATTAAGTTAGATCTATTATATAACAAACGTTTCTAAGCCACCACGTGGCATCCTGCAAACCACTAGTACAGATCCTTCTATCTGTGACGGGCTCCAATATGTCTAGAAATAGCGGGCCGTCATAAGGAAGTCATCTCAATCGGGCCGAAAAGTACCCGATTGAGATATGGTCGTACAGACATGTTAGATGGGCATAAAACCTAAGCCTATCACGGATGACACCTATCAGTGACGGGCCGTAGTTTAGTCCCGATTGAGATAACATTCCATATCTCAAACAGGCCTAAAGTTGCGGCCCGTCACAGCTAACGCTACGTACTAAGACGCCACGTGTCACTATAATAAATTAGAGAAATTTCTAAAAATTTTAAGATAAAACAAAACATCTAGAAATTAATTTTCATTAAATTAGGTGGACCCATTATTTACCATCATTAGACTTATCTTTAAAAGAACTCCCTAACCCCCAAACCGGATCCAAATTGGGCCTGTACGTAGCGTATGTTTTCTTTATTACGCAACCCTCCTGCTACACGAAGCAGTCCAAGAGGATGTTTTAATCTTCTGTCTCAGCTATAAATCATTTGTAAATTGTTTAATCAATTTGGAATAGTCTTTTCTTTAATAGGTTTAATTGGAATTAAATCTTGTAAAATTCATATCTAATTCATACGAACTCGGAATGAGGTCGTTCAAGTCTCATAATTCATCTAAATTCAAGCTCTACCCATATGAACTTTAATTGGACTGTTCATTTGGTTTTTATTAGTGTTTTTCCTTGTTTTGCGTTTTAGGTTTAGACTTCCCATTGTTTCGGAGGATCGTTCGTTCGTTGGAGAAGTTCCAGAAGACGAATTGAAGACGCTTGTTTGTAAGGCAAGTCACACAGATCCCCCAAACAACCCTTTGAGCATGTTGAACCTGTTTAAAGCTATTGATTTATTTCAAATTATGCATTGTTCTCGAATGTCATTGGGTGGTGAGCCTTTCCCATTTAATTATGGCCGAAGATGACTTTATTTTCCTATGGGTTATAATTTGACTAGCATGGACCTTATATATTGGATTGGTTCAGCTAGATGTTATTTATAGTTGCTTAGCCATTCTTAGAAACATTAGCTCATTAATGGGATAAATCATGCTTCACTATCACTTATGGATATTTAATGGAAGCTCACGATGGTCAATCGTGATTGGTTAATTAATTAATTTGCCAAATAAAACTTGATAAAGGTGGGTTGTGAGCACATGGTTTTGATGGTCGTGCTCATGACAATTAAGGACCGGTTCACGAGTTTCGGTTGTGAAACATTAACCGTGCCAACCACAAGCCAGTATGGGCAACGGCTTTACCTTTTGTATAGCATGGTTCATTGCGGGGCACCAGACTGAGAAGTGGCGGAGATAAGCCCACAGGGGTCGCTGGGGAGGCCATGCCTTGTTTATAAGGGGGTGATTATGATCCAGGAATGGTGCGCTGTGGTGGATTGTGTTGTGCGAAGGGTACTGTCACGATTTCCCCCTTTGCAGTGCCGTGGTGGTACTTCGGGGCATGGTAACATGTGCGGGATCGTGTCTTGTGGGTACAGTAGTACACCTCTGGCCAGAGTAAAACTATTCGAATAGCCGTGCCCGCGGTTATGGGCGGGTCTAACAATGTCTTTCGTGATTAGTCTCACACTTCTCACCATAATAAAAGATGCTATAACTGGTAATAATTTGATTAGCTCCTGGTTTGAAATGGTACATTCCTGGTTTGGAGATAGATCTGTACAGCCGGGTATGGTTGTTCAGGATGGTTGGGCCTATGCAGCATGGGTATGTTGTACAGTGTTGATTAATATTGATGATTAATTGCTCTACTGTTTTACAATTCTCAAATGTTTGTTAAATGCTGCTTTTGCAAATAAGCCCTATATTATGCCATTCTTTGGTATCCTTGTGCACTTGCATATTTGTTGTGTGGTTTGCTGAGTATGTCATATGCTCACCTTGCAATAATCATCAAACCTCAGTTGAAGAAAAAGGATTCAGAAGGAGAAGACGTTTGGCTTATACCCCAGTTGAGCTGCCTGTGGGAGTGGAGCTGAAGCTCGCTAGGTTTTATTTTTTCCGCTGCAGTTTTCTTCATGGTGAGGACTAAGTGCCTCTTACGTAAGTATTTATTCGCTTTAGTTATTGATGAATCTGTATATTAAATTGTCAGTTTGTGTACCTCGGCTGATTTCTGGACGAGGATTTTATGCACAAATGAGTTCGAAAATTACTAGTGAATTTCTGGGCGTGACAACTATCCACTGCACATTTGATTATCTGGAATGCAGTACGAGAGAACACTTTGCCGGTTTGCCTTGCCCCGTCAATTTCCGTATCCATTTAACGTTGCAGAGAATAGGCTGCAGTACTTACGAACTCTAATTTAGATCACATTAATACATAACCACACATTTTTTTAGCTGACACTGATTCCGTGAGCTTAGTTCATAATTTACATTGCATAAAGTTTATTCTCTCTACTACATGTGTTTCTTTTAACTGATGTTGGTCACCTCTATTATATTTAACTCGGGTTCATGGAAAGGTACTTCTGAGGACTGAGGCCTATATAACCCTTCCTTCATCTATGAGCCTTCGAAGGCATCATTTGGTAGTAAAATGGGAAGACGGTCATTTATGTATTTGTTATTTAACGTTATATGTAATGGGTCTGCTGCACTCATGCTATGCCCTTTCGGGGCAGTTCATCCTTTGGTCTGTAGCAGTGCTCTTTCTATCAGAAAGATTATCTATACAAAGTATTGTATGGTCATTAAATTATTGTATGGGAGCTTATTATCTGTTTTATCTTATTAGAGACGTGGAATTATTAAATTGTTGTATAGGAGCTTATTTTCTGTTTCATCTTATTAGAGACGTGAAAATATTATGTGCTTATTCTCTGTTTTATTTTATTATTGACGTGGGTTTCACGTGCACACTTACATGATTTATGCACCAGAGTCTGTAGTAGATTGTTCAGCTCATTCAAACAGAATCAGTAACTGCTTAAATTAGAACCAAAGTCATCGGATGCCATTTGCTCTTGAATTGTCATGTTTTAAGCATGTATTGCTCTGAAAAAAAATACTTCAACCTTTCAGCACAATATATTTTTAATTGAATACTTTACACCTTCATTATTTGTGTCCTCTAAGATCGTGAAATTCAGTTTGTTGCTGTTCATTTGTGAATATTCCAGTTATTTTGCCAGATGAAAAGCAGCTTAAGGTTTTGAATCCATGCAAGTTTGTTTTAAATGTTCTGACGGTACACATCATTTGAGGTACCTAATATTGTCCTTTTGTTCAGTAGTCCTTCCATTTGGTCAATAACCCCCTTAAAAGCTTTATTTAAGATACCATGCCTATATAAAACTTTGCATGCACCTTGGGCATGAGAACAACTAAATGGATTTGTTTTCATTATTTTATCTATGTTTGGGCATTTTATCGTGTTTGAGACACTAATGTGTCGGACTACCATTGACCAGAAAGATAGACTGATGCAGAAATCATTCTTTGTTATCTCTCTTAGTTTGTAATTAGAATTATCTGATTGTTGAACTCGAATTTCCTTGATGAAAATTATATTTGTTCAGAGATGCTCATTCTAGCTCTGTATGCGGATTTGGTGATTGAAGAAATGCATGGTAACATTTTGGCATGGTTTGAAAATATCGCAAATTCATGCTTTGTCAGTTAATTCTTAGTACCCATGTTCTGTAGCCTCTCCTTTTCTCATTTTTCACACAATCCCTTTGATCTGCATACATACTATTTTTCTTTGTGTGCTACGGAATGTGATTAAACCATGTTGTTTATATAAAAAAGCATAGAATTGACGTGGGTGCACATGTCCATATTCCTCTTTGCTGAATTCAAAGATCTACAAGTTTTACTTCTTAATATATAGCATAATAACTTGGCAAATGAATCAGATTCGTTACAATTTCGTTTTGTTCAGATCAAGGAAACGATTCCTCATTGATTTGTGCATATTTCTATATGACATAGATTGGATGTTTCAAATGATGCATATTTTCCCCGTTGCAACGCACGGGCACCCAACTAGTCACAGCCAAAAAGCTCAGAACTAAAGTACAAAATACAGGAGAGGACTCGAGGAATTTTGGTGCTGCCTCTACAAGCGCAGCTTTTCTGGTTTACTTAATGCTTAGTATAAAGTAAACTACACGGATAACTTGGCCTTAGTGGCCGTACAACTAGACCCATGAACTCACAAACGACGCGAGCGGCACAGATCTCAACAGAAAAACACGCAAGAAAACAGGAGAGTAGTAGAAAAGCTAACAAACCAAGCATGGACACACGAAGTAAATTATCCAGAACCAACAGTAGAGCTCTCTCTTTGCACGCATTCTTTATTTCCCATGACATTTTCTTGATTTGCTGCCTGAACTTGCGCGCACCGACCACGAGCAGCTAGATGGTATCATAAGAACTCGATTAAACAATATGGGTATTTGAAGACAGGATTAAATGGACGGAAAAGAGCATGGTTATTACAGTTACCTCAGTAGAATTTCAGTAAGCACAGCCATCACATCCTAGTGCACTGATGACTTTGTTGTCCTCATCCTGATTCTTGCCACCATTGTTGTCAGTGAGATGTGCACTATCCTCCTCATCAACATTGCCATCATTCATTACCTCCCCAAAGTATATATAACTACTAATAGTAATATTGGTCTTGAGATTACTCGGGTGCTTAGCAATTTCGTGATTGATGTTGCGATGCGCAGCTTCAATGTTTGATTGTATGGCACCAGCTGTATACATCTCAACATGGACATTTTTAAGACTCTTGAGGTGCTGAATGCCAGAATGCGTGCTTCCATATAATTCTGCCCCGCAAGCACTGTACATCAACTTGAGGGTTTCAAGCTTTGGCATGGACTTCTCTTGGAAACTTAAGCATGGCAACCCGGACCACAGGAGGAATAAGACAAGACTACGGAAACCTGTTTCCTTAATGACAATTTTCTCTTTACGAAGAGGTACCACCCAAAGATGGAACTGAAGCAGCACCGGCAGATGAGCAAGCAAATCCAAATCTTCATCCTCCAGCTCCCACACATCAAGTTTCAACTCAGTGAGCCTATCGAGCGGTGCAATCCACTTGGGGCACCGCTGAAAGTAGGAGTTCCACATCCAGAACCTTTGAAGGAGGCATGGCGGGGGTGACAAAGATGCTAGAAAATCAACAGGAATAGGTCTGGCACTCAGAATACTTAGTGATTTGAGGCTACAGCTGCTCAATTTGCTGAGAGAAGAGGACAAGTACTCCTTGTATCTTGCATCACTTGGCTCGTCCTCATCCCAAGATATCGAGAGCTCTCTCAAGTTCCTCAAATTTCCAAGTTCCTGCACTGCATTTACTGGGCTGTCACAGATGTTGAATTGTGACAGTGTCCGAAGTGCTTGCATGCTCCCAATGTCTTTCGGTAACATCCCCTCATTGTCCACAAGGAGATGTCTAAGATGTTGTAGCTGAGAAATCCCATCCGGCAGCAAACTATTCCATGAGAAACTGCACCATTCTAGTGTCTCAAGACACTGCAGCTCCCCGATTTCTGCAGGAAGCTTAAAGGCATTTAGTCTCAAATATTTCAGCTGATGTAGTTTGCAAATAATCTTCAAATCGACATCCTCATTCAACTCACAATCGAGACTCAGGACTCGTAAAACTCTGAAATAAGCAAATGGCAGTGTCTGATTGAGACAGTCACCAAAGGTGCTGAATGATCTAACATGGTTTAACGATGTTACTTCTTGGGGTGCCAACTTCTGATCTCCATCATTATATTGAATTGAGAGCCGGCGAACAACACCTTTTGGTTTTGTTGAGATCGGGCTCGGACCTATGATTGTAAGAAAATTCTCTTCTCTTGCCTTTGATTTCATAAGTTCTAGCATCATGTCATGTACGCGACAAACTCGCACCCTTCCATCGTAGTCAATGTCCACTGGCAGAATCATACTCCTATTAATGAGCTCATTGAAGTAGCTTTCAGCAACATCCTCCACATTTTGCCCATAATCTTCACTGACCAATCCTTCTGCTATCCATCTCCTCACTAAACTACCTCTTTCAATGTCATAATCCTCAGGAAATATGCTCAAATAGAGTAAACAAGGTTTGAGATAGTGGGGAAGATCATTATAACTCAGAGACAATATAGTTTTCATGCCCTCAAGATCATGATTTTCTTGTAATACAGATCCTGTCGATGTACTCACCTTTTCCCATTGCTCCTTTGTATTGGACCTGCTAGCCAATAAGCTTGCTATACTAACTATCGCCAGGGGAAGGCCAGTGCATTTTCTCAATATATCATCTGAAACATGTGTAATTTGCACAGGGCAACCATCCACATGGCCAAAAACTCTTTTGAAAAGTAGCATTCTTGAGTGGAGCTCACTAAGAGGCTCAATTTTGTAACAGCGGTCACTGGGCAGAGAACAACACGCCTTTGCGACAGACTCAATACGTGTTGTAGTAATTACTCTGCTACCATTTTTGTTCTCTGGAAGAGCACATTTCAGTACATCCCATGCTGAAGCAGACCATATGTCATCAATTATGATGAAGTACCTATTCAAAAATGTGAATCAGAAAATGTCCCAAAACGAATTCCTTTTGAAAAGAAATTGGACTGAGAACCAAAACATGCTTTTTTAAGTGAACACAATATAGCAATAATAATTGGCACTAACATCATCACTTAAAGTTTTTGTATGATCAATTCATTTCGCTGAAAGATTTAGAAAAGAAACTATAGAGTTGGGGAAGTACATGAACATGAATGAAAGTGCCCATGCCAGATTCATAAATTTGATAGTATACATGGTTTGAAATTTCGGTTCAAAATTTCAGGAATTTCCGAAATTTTGGACCCTATAAGCAAGATCAAATCTCCCCCGAAATTTTCGGATTTTTTCAAATATTTATGAATCTGGTCAATAAATTGTTTAAATTCTGTCAAAATATGTTAAAATTTCAAAAAGAAAATCAGTCAGAAGACACCGAAATTCACAAAATTTTCAAAATTCAGGTATCGACATTGCAAGCACTGATAGTATACTTGCTAATTCGTTTTACAAGGTTGTAATTTAGGTTCCCCAACTTGTCGAATTGAATCATAAGATTAATCTAACTAGTAGCATCTCAAACGGTATTCATGAATATTTTTTCTTATGTTTTTTTTTGACTCTCGTGTTAAGATTATTAAGTGTAGTTTGTAGGGGCTTTTTTAGTCATTTCACATCTGTTGTATCGATACATATCAGCCCTAAGGGCCTTGATAACGCTTGAAATCACCAGATTTCTCTTCTATCCAAAATTCATATGATATCAAAGTCTAGAACAGAGACACCGAAACCTCCTAATGAATAACATATAAAGGAGCATTAAAGCCCATAGTTATTCTTTCTAAATTCCAACCAAGAATGCAAAGAAGGTGCAAAGTAATACATTAGAAAGTATAAAACAAAATAAATAGTTTTTTCAAAGTCACATATTTCTGATGTGAGAAAAAATAAAATATTTCCAGATTTTGAAATATTTCAATTTACTAAACTAATTTAAGTGAATATAGTTTTGAACATTGGTATTCTATATTCAATTTGAATTAATCGAAGTAATGAATAGTTTTTAGAATTTCCATTCTATATGAAGATATACATGATTTTGAAGAATTAAAATTAATTATCCATTTCACATACTAATTATAATTGCAAAACGCGAACCAACTTTTTCCTAAATTAAATATGATTCAAACTTGTGAATTGAACTTTTGTTATAAACCTAACGTTAGTATAAGAAATATTGAAAATTAGTTCAAAATGTCATATGATTTTTATATTATTTGGTATTATAAATCTAATATCATATTAAGGAAACATTAGTCCATACCATATTAGACTACAATAATTACATTTCATAGAATTCATTTAACCATAAATGCTGCCTTATCTTCCCAAAGTATTTCTGAGGTAAGAATGTTAGAACATGCATCAATAGGTAATGGAATTGTTCACAACAACAACGTGATTCAAAAATTAACGTTGAGCACTAGGTTCTTGTACAGCGAAAAAAAATCTGATGGTTGTAAAAAGTTAGAGAGCATTCTCAAAGTGTGACAATTCCCTGCACTCTTTTGAGGACGTGAATGGAGTTTATTGTCATCTTCACAACAGTTGTCATGGTTTCTTATTCGATGTTTTTGTTAGGAAAAATACTTTGGGAAGATCTCCTCTTGTGTGTATATTAATGAAAAATACTTTGGGAAGATCTCCTCTTGTGTGTATATTAATATGAGAGGATTGTACGTAGGTGACTTCTGTCACTTTTCTATTTCCTTGGATGACAATCTGATGGTTCTCATCACTCATTTCTCTTTATTAGATAAACTATTTTAACCTATAAAAATTTAAAAAGAAATACCAAACTACATGAAATAAACCTCCAATTCATAAAGATTTACAAAATTAAATGTAAAAAATATTCAAACTCAGATAATAATAAATTAATGTAGAACCATATATAACAACATAATTACAGTACAAATGAAGTAGAATTGCATATTCCACACTGCTGCAATTTTAATCTTAGGCAAATGCACCTTTTAGGTGATGTACCGAAATTTCACAAATTTTCAGCCATTTGAAATTTAGGAATACTCTATTAGTATATATATGATTATCCGATGTTATTTGGGTTATTTTGAGATGATTCATATGTGTTGTTCTCGAGTTATGGATATCACAATACTGAATTCAGATCTGTTGTCTGCTCCATATGAAATTATAAGGTGTATTTTATTTGGAAAAAGTCTGTGATATTGATTGCTTACAAAATATGTTCGGATGAAAACTGTTTGAAAAATAAATTCATTGGTATGACTTTTTTGTACTAAATATAATTACAGTTCAATTGATTGTTGCTCAAAATCTATAAAGTTACACTTATTCAAAATATTATACTTCTTACAATTAGGTTATCTTTCCAAATGGTAGAGGGTGGGCTATTTAGATATAGATCATTAGTCGATTACTATAGGGTTATTTTTATACTAGGAGAAGTGAGTAATTGAGAAGCAAATTAGATCCAATGGTTGATATCTATCTATCTATTATATACTAAAAGTCCATTAAACTTTCTACAAACGCTCTTAAATCGCCACATGGCACTCCTAAAAATACTCTTAGTCTGTCATGTGGCACTGTCTAATCTCACCATCGATTTTCACTTAAATTAGTGGACCCATTAATTTACACCATTAGATTAGATCAATTATTAAAAAATTATAACTTCCTCCTCTATGCATACGCTCCTACTATTTTACATACGTATCTGATTTTATATATTAAAAGTCCATTAAACTTTCCACGAACGTTCTCAAACCGCCACATGGTAGTCCTACAAATGCTCTTTGTCCGCCATGTGGCACTGTCTAATCTCACCATTGATTTTCACTTAAATTAGTGGACCCATTAATTTACATCATTGGATTAGATCTATTATTAAAAAATTATAACTTCCTCCTCTATGCATACGCTACTACTATTTTACATACGTACGTGATTTCTGCCGTTAATTTAGGTTTTAATGAATCAAGTTCCATATATACAATGGTTTGTACCGTAACCAAACCAAGCATAGCATATTTACGTACTCAACGTTTCTTCTTGCGAAGAAAAAGATATGAGTTCAGCGGTACATGTTTTTTTTTTTAAAAAAGTGCACTGGTGCATGTTTGCGCTGAATTATAGAGTTTTCATCTTCATAAAAAGAGGTGACGAAAATATTGATATATACACAGATAATTAGTAACCAAACAAGTCATTATGGTATTCAGGAGCACTATGCTGGGGAATTCTCGACTTTGCGCTTAGTTTAACAATTAGCCATGCCAAATTAAATGAACAATTTTTCCAAACACATCTTCTATTATATATATTAAGAAGTTAATTGAACTTCCGACAAGCACTCTTGAGCCGCCACGTGACACTCCTACAAACACTCTTAGACCGTCACATAGCTCTATCTAATCTCACCATCGATTTTAACTTAAATTGGTGACCCGATATTTTGGATCAATAGATTAGATGTATTATTAAAAAGTAATAATTGTTGGCCGGCAAAAGAAAAAAAATTACTTCCTACATACAATTGAAAAAACAATAAAGATTACCTACAGTTCACGAGAAGGAAAAAAAAACTATGCACAGACTTACGATACAAAAAAAGATACGTATATAGTACCATTGAAAAAAAAATCGTTTGTCTTTAGAATAGGATTTTCTACAACTTTTTTAGTTAAAACAACAGGAGAGACTTCTACTGATATATTAGAACTATATAAAAGTTACAAATTACATATGTACAGGAGGAGATTACATAAGAGTATCAAGCCATGATTTCCAAAAAGGTTGATCTAACAATTTTGCTCTGTGCACAAGCAAAGCAAAGTCTCTCTTGAAGTGATTTCCATAGCTGGAAAGAAATAGAATCTTCTACAATTTAGAGATAAAATACATTACTTTACAAATTTACACAAATATACGATGTTAAACTATAGATCTATAATATCTAATCAATGCTCTATGAATGTTCTATCTTTTAAATTATTTTAAAATCATATATCCAATTTGTGATACTGTTGTATTCCTTTAATTAAATAAACTATTGTTGTTTAAGGTCCTAAAGACATCACAATGCATGAGGCCGACATATAATAATTAATGCTATGATAATTTTAAATAATTTCACATCATATTTAGGGCGTCAAATATCATTTGGTAAATATACAACGCTAATTTAAATCTACACACACACATATATATATATATATATATATATATATATATAAACAACCCAATTTAGTTGTGTTTTTCAAGTAAATCTTATTTTAATTTTAAATTATTTGAATTAAGATTCTCAAAAAAAATTTGAACTATTTGATTGGTATTTGAGAAGTGACCAGCACAAATGTTACATACATTTGAAAAAAAATCAAAAATATTTCTAGCCAATAATCTTGCTATAATCCAACCCATTAGTCCATTTTTGAGATTTATGGCCATATAGTATGTTTTTTTATTTGGCAAATAGTTTTGACAATAAATGAATAATCAAGTAACATGTCCAATAAACTACTTATGGTATATTTTTTTATAGTTGATAAGATTCAATATTTCAGGATAATTGATGGATGTATGTCAATATGTCATACACTCTATTGACGTGACTATAACTATACTTCAACGAATCATAGTTTGGGAAAATAAATGCATTCTTTAAATTAGTAAATATGTCTCATGTGATTATGAATCATAGGTGTTGAAAAAAACCAGGAGACATTTGTCAAAATATAAACGATAACACAATACTCTGGAGATTATCGTGGTACTATTTTAAAAATTCACTTTGTTTTGATTATATATAAATTCCCCAATTGGTTTGGGACAAAATTTGACTCTTTGGATTTATGCAACACAGGGTGTATAAGTAATATAAGTCTATCTTTAATTAGATGAAGTAGTTCTATTAGATATAATTTTAATAGAAAATACCATTCACTAATATATCATAAAGTCCATCGTCATCTATAGCATACAAGGATAAGAATAAAATGTTACTTAAAGTTTGTAAACTCCAAAAATAAGATATGCTAAATATTCCTAAAAAGAATCACACATAGTACAAATATATATGAACCAACTTCATTATTGTGACTTTTTTCTCATAAATTCAAGGTTGTACGGTTTCAAGTAATATGCATAAACCAATTATTATAAAAAACATGTTTAAAATAGAGTCAAAGAGTATTTGAAAGATATCATCCACACATAAATGTTTGTACTCAAAATTAAAGCAATATTAAATAAGATACCCGCGCATATGCACGGACTACCTTTCTAGTTGTCAATAAAGATAGAATCAACCAAATATACAGTCAGATTTTTCCAGATTTTTGTGGTAATTATTCCCAGGATTAATCTCTTTTTCAAGCCCATCTCATGAGGATTAACGTGGAAGCTCTCGAATTAGTAGTTGTAAGATGGCAAATCTGACGTGCAACAGAATATTGTAAATATCTTTTTGAAAAGTATTTAATATGAAACTAGTTAGTCAGATATGTCCTGCTGTGCAGAAGCCGCGCGCAAACTGCACCTTAATTGCGTACAAGCGTAATAATATTGTCGCGCTAAGATTGATATGGAGAAACAATAGACCTAAAATGTTTAACAATGAGCGAGAAATAAGATAATTACCTCTTATCCTGTAGGATTTCTCTTATCTTTTCAATAAGCATTGTCTCACTCTCATCCCAGGTCTCTCTCAGATCTCTGACAAGATTAGTGCCTTTCGGAGTTATACGAGAGAGTATGCCCCAGAGAATTTTCTTAAAATCAGGCTTTTGGGAAACAGATACAAGAGCCGCACAACCGAATTGCGGTCCAATCTTACGACGGACCTCATTGGCTAGCGTGGTCTTGCCCAAACCACCAAAGCCATAGATGGACAGCACCTTCCGATGATTCAAATGCTCAGCTTCACCCTCCATCAGCCAGCTCACTAGGTCATCCCTTGGGCCATCGATGCCCACAAGGTGAGCCTCCTCAGTGAAAAGAGCACCCATGCGAGGATCTATTGTCAAGCTGGTGTAACTGCTGCCAGCAACATCATCGAGCTTGTATCTCTCCCTCTGGTCTTTGACCTCGACAACACGGGCCTTCAGTTCTTGGATCTGCTTTGCAATGCGGTGCCTAGTGCACAGTGTCTTCAAACGCCGAGCACATCGGCGAAAGAACTCCTTGATGCCTCCGTGACCGTGGTGGTCATTGGTGTCAACTCCGTGGACATACTCGTCCACGCAGTCTTCGATGTCGTGTGAGAGCTCCCTCAACTCCTTTGTCCAGGTCTTCACTTGGATGTCAGGGTTCTCCATTGCAGCACACTTTTGGAGAAGGGCGTGCATGTTGTTCAGCTCTGACCGGAGGAAGCGGATTTCACGGCGGACTCCTTTCAGTCGAGCACACTCCTCAACAAGCAGATTGGTGAGTTTCTTTAGGAGGGAGTCCATGGCACCTTGAGCCTCCATGCTTCCTACCCCTCCCGTTCTCTCTCTTATGCTCAGCAATGGTGAGTATGAGGAAGGACCGAAGGAGAAAGAATGCTTGCTATATAAATTGTGGACTGTGTGTGTAGCATATAATGGCGAGAAGTATCATTAGTTTGCTCAAGGCAATTAAATGGAATCCATGACAGCTCCAAAATTTAAATTGCTCATAAAGCTTGAGATCTAGTGCTGCCAGAGTTTAGATGTTATAACAAGGACTTGCCATGTACGAGTACTGGTGTTGAATGCGATGTTATTGGCTCATGTAGTGTTTCTTATTCATGTTTATTCATACCAATGCTCAGCCTACCTAATTTAAACATCCACTTGCTAAATCCTCATTTAGCAATTTAGCAAGTTGGGATGTAATGTATTGTCTCCAAGTAATCGATCGACAAAAGCTGACCACATGGCAGCATCAAATTTTGATGGTGCCTTTAGAATCTTTTGACCAGACTTCCATGGATCCACTGTTTGATGTCTTTTATTAGACTTGTGGAAATCTACTCATCGACATGTACCACATGGCAACTTGGTGGGTTTGTATATTCGATGGTACCGTAACTTAGAATCTTTTCATTAGCTCGACTTGCATAAATATCTACTCCTCCACATGTAGGCTTATCACATGCATGGCAACGTGCTGGTGGTAAATTTGATGGTGCCTTCAGAATCTTTTCATTGCAAAACAAAGACCTACTTCTCAGGGCTTTGTAGGAGGTATCTTCATTATCAATACTTCTCGACATCTCAGGGTAACCTAAAAATAGACATCCCTATAGGAAGAGAACATCAAACTGACTGAATGAAAGAACCCCACAAGTGAATCTTGATTCTTGAATTAGAAGATCAGCTAAGCCTTATTTGGTCACTTCAGGTACAAGCATTCATAGTCATTATGGGAAATTCTTTTCTAAAGGAGATGTGTATTAGTTCCTTTTCTATACGGAACATGGAGGTCTAACCACATAAGAGACTTGCGTAAACCTTCTCATCGACATGTAAGCCTACCACATGCTAACTTGGTGGGATTGTAAATTCGATGGTACGTACCTTATAATCTTTTCATTGGACTTGCATAAATCTACTCCTCGATATGTAGGCTTACCGCATGGTAACATTGGGTGGTGGACGTGCATAAATCTACTCCTTGTCAAGTTGGCTGCACACATGGCAGCACGGTGGGTGGCAAATTTGATTCTCCCTTTAGAATAATCTTTTGATTAGATGCACAAATCCAGCGCTTGACAAATACGCTGACCACATGACAATAAGGCATATAGGTGTTGAATAGTCCCACATTGGTTGTGGAAGGGAAAATGACTTAAGATATAAGTGAGGGAGCCCCTCAACTTAATGGCTAACTTTTGGGGTGGGAAAGGCCCTTTACGATCCTACAATTGGTATCAGAGCCTGGCTAGGTTAACATCTATGTCCGATGGACACCGTGTGTGAAGGCCTGATGGACCGTGGGTGCCTGCGGGGCCCATATACCTGATGGACCGTGGGCCAGTGGGGCCCAAATACGGTGAAGGGGCTGAGGGACACCAATGTGTGAAGGGAGAGATTGTTGAATAGTCCCACATTGGTTGTGGAAGGGCAAATGACCTAAGATATAAGTGGGGGAGCCCCTCACCTCAATGGCTAGCTTTTGGGGTGGGAAAGACCCTTTACGATCCTACAGTATGGATGGAAATGGACGAAAACTAGTTCTACCATATTCATTTTTATATTTTCTCAGAATCCTAATCGAAAATCCCGGATACAAAAATGGAATCGAATATTATTAAATACAGGCATGGAGCGAATACGTAACGGAGTGAATACACTAACGAATATTTAGCAGAATTTAAAAATCCCTCAAATTGAGCTTCGTGAAGTAACGAAGAAATATGGCTTGTTATTTTTCGTCAACATTTTCAAATTTTATATCGTTAATTTCTAGACAGTTCTATAACCGTTTGTGAAAATCGATTTTCATAGTCAATATCTGTTGATGTGAAAACACGAGGCCTGGGAGATCTGCTTAACTCCAGCGTAGGTCCAAAAAGCTTGCCTTTAGGTTTATGAGCGTGCCAGTTGATTTGATCCTGCAATCAACAAGAAACAAAGACGGGAAAATAGCAGTTAAATCCATAAGCGATAGCCGATCGGCCAGTCGCCGATGACATATCATTTATCTTTGAGCCGATGTCATCTTTGCATCGATCGGCATTCATGAATAAACAAGAAAGACTAAATCTATTCGATCGGCTGTAGATATTAATGGTATATAATCCTTATGTCGATATATACTTAAATCAAGTGATTGGGATAGATCGGTCGCCATGCCAAGACAGTATAAATCACTTAGATCGAAATATATATTAACAAGAAGATTATAAGCATTCATAGCATAGCCGATCAGATAGATCTAGCAAGTATCGGCTAATACTCCAATACCACTCAATATTAAGATATTAAAGCAAGCAAAATATATCAAACAGGAAGCTTAATATACCTAAAAGCAATAAGATCTCAACATAAACGGCAGATCTAGCATATCAATTAAGCACATAAGATATAAGGCTAAATCAGGTAAGATCGGCTGAAACCCCGATACTACCCTAATCGGCAACCAAAGACAGGCTAGAGATTGAGATTCTAATAACGACTTATAAGGTCAAACTCAACTGATGCAGCTATAAGTATGAAAAGAAGAGCAATATCTAGATAATCAAGCCATTGGATATTTCATATGGTGGTGGATACTCTATATAATCTAAGTCAACGTTGGAATTTAACCTAATCGGCTGCTCTCTAGAGATAGATATTAGCCGACTGAAGGTTAAATAGCAATATTGCCAAAGATTATATAGAATATATGATAACTCGACAACTTACATAAACAAGATTAGAGTGCCATAAAGATGGAAGCACTAATCCCGAGAACGCAAGCCGCCATAACAAGTTTTACCTCTAGTTGAAGATCGAAATCGATGCAGCTCAACCCGAAAGCAAGAACTCGTTGAAAATAAAATGAAAGTAAAAGGGTGGCGATGCGCCGAGATTGTTATTGAACGTGTGTTATCTGATTACATGGGACTCGGGGTCTATTTATACCCGAGATTACAAAATATGTCCATGTCGGACATGACTCTTATTTCTAACAAACTCTAAGATACCATAAATCTTTGCGGCAGACTTTTGCCTAAACTTATCTGTAAGGAAATTACATAAAATATCCTAATTAATAGATACAATTGCCTTTCCAGGACTCAATCCGTGTGTGGCAATCCATATGAAGCACATTAACTCAACCCGACAACATGTACCGAGTCGTATTGTCGGAGTCGGCTCAATCAGCTAACCTTGTCCGACTCGAACTTTGCCGATTCTGGTCGCAGTCTATTCGGACTTCAGCCGATTCTTGCTCTGTTTCCGGAACGATCTACCTCTTGGATTCTGCTTCGGTTTTATCTTCATCTCCGATACTGAAATTACCAAATTTTTCGTTAACAATATCTTAAGTGACCCTCTTGTGAAAATGATTTTCCACTTCCTGGTCCCTTAATATCTCTATGTATAGCTTACTCACCATCTGGCATGTTAAGCTCTCGTTATTTAGATTGAAGATGCTATTCATGTTAGATTGAGAGTGTTGCCTATGTTTTTTTTTAATAATGGAAGAGATTTCACTAAGGCCAGATTTTATATGTTATAGCAAGACTAATTTGTTAGGTACTACGACGAGTTTATATGTTATAACAAGAATAAGCCAGGTATGACGAGTTTATATGTTATAACAGGACTAATTGCCATGTACAACTTGCTTGTGATGTTGTTGGCTGATATAGTATTTCTTGCTCATGTTTAACTATACGTACCATGATAGCTATCTGTCGATTCTAGAAATCGGTAATAAGAAAAGGGGTTGTGTATGGGAGCTAAAGTAAATAGGTCATGAGACAAAGGTTTAGGTAGGTTCAGGCCCTCTCGACGAGAGGTAATACTCTAATCCTGTTTGCGGATTGGAATCCGCCGGGTGTTGTACTAATTTGATGATCTAGTTGAAGCTTATGCCCTTGGAGGGCCTCTAGCCCACCTTATATAGGTTGGAGAGCAATATTATAACGATAGAAACCTAACCAAATACGGAATCAATTTTCTTATCCTACATTACAATTTACCAAACCAAGACTTTTAAGTCGTCTCCTTAATATAGAAGGAGACGTAACACTCAAGTCATGATCTGTTACATATTCTATAGATATAATGTATCCCCTATAACTAATCGGATAATCCAGCCATGTAGGTATATGGTATCTGTCGATTCTGGAAATCGGCAATGATAAAAGGGGGTAGCGCATGAGACCTAAAAGTGGCTAGATGCGGAAGACAAGGATTTAGGCAAGTTTATGCCCTCTCAATGAGAGGTAATTCGCTACCTGTTTAGGATTGTATCCATCGGCTGTATATTGATCTGACGATCTAGTTGTGGTTTATGTGTTGCCATGTTTCTATGCCCTTGGAGGAGTAGAGGACTCCGGGCCCACCTTATATAGGTTGGGGAGCAGGGTTACCAAGAGGAAAACATAGTCGGATACAACATCAGTTTCCTAATCTCTTATATGGTAGTACCTGGTTGGGACTCTAGGTCCTGTCATAGAACACTAGGTAACATTGCAACCGAGTCCTACTCTATAACATAATATATGGATTTAGCCCACCTCCTATCTCTAGTCGAATATGGAGGTCGTGTGGGGTACCTGGTACCCAAATTCTCCACAGCTGGCCCTAAGACCTTCACAGTCAAGTTGCAGTCTTCTCCGTGGTTCATGACCAATACTGAGTGCTTCATCTTCCCTACGAAGGCTTCCCGAGTGCTTCCTTCTTGAGTCCTCATTTGATAACTTGCATAGAGGCTATGGAGGGCTCGTCCAAAAGATTAAATAAAAAAGATATATCAAGTAGATGAATATATAGGTGCAACGAATAGATGCGCCTAATAGGTGTAACTCCCGACTATGTGATTAGTTGAACAAACCAAGCATATAGTCAAGAACTATAATTTTAACTAGTCGAGTGACTTAATACGAATATATAACATATGTAGTGTGAGTCTCTGAATAACATGACCCGAACAATGTATCGACTGCATAGAATATGTTGCGCGTAGCTCTAGGCCAATTGTGGCTTAAGAATATAATGTGTA